CAGCACGTGTTGTTCTGTGCGTCGGAGGAAGATCTCCTCCCCGAGCCCGAGCTGGACTTCGACGACGAAATTATTGAGCGAGCAGCCCCGGCACTGTGAGAGGGTGACTTGTTCTTCCGCGCTACTCTTCTGCAGGCATGTGGCAGTCCGTTTGCATGGTTTCCGTTGAGATTGTTACGCCAATGGAGCCCTGCAGTCGGGTAGCTGGTGTTGCCGATATGACGTGTTGCAGGCCTGTCTAGTAAATCCACCGATATTTGCAAACCGAGGTACGTGCTGCTGCCAACCAAGGCCCCGCAAACAAAGATCGTACCCTGGCGTCTCGTGTGCTTCTCTTGATGTCGCTGGTACAGCAGCACCCGCCAAATCTAGCGTTGTTGAACGTTGACTCTGTCGTACTCTGTCGCTGCAGATGCTCTCTTCATTCTTGACCTCTGATGATCTCCGGAATGTTAAGGGCGTGTCCTCTTAAGAACCTGTCAGACGGTTGACACGAAAGCCCCTGTCAATATGTCCTTTGCCCCCTTCTGCTTGGAGAAAAACAAGAAGAGAAGAGAAGGAAGTGCCGTGGTGCTTACACGTCGCTCAACTTAAGCAGCGCGCATAATTGTTCTGTTTCGGCATCATCCAAAGCTCTTTGCGGCCGGGTCGTCCATAGGAGCTCGGAAGCGTCAGAGCCAACGCGTGCACGTGCAGGGCCACAGTCTCACAGCCTGAACCGAATCCGGATGGGTGGAACATGATAGTCCTTCGACTCACTTATGTCTTCCGGCATCTGATCGTATCTGATCGAATCGAATCAGCGGCAAGAACATCGCACTCGCCTTCCGTCGTCTATTTGCACCTCCTCCTCCTCCTCCTTCCTCCTCCTCCTCACCTCCTCCATCATCCTCGCCGCTAGAAGGGTCATTGATCAAGATGAACAGGGTCATAATGGACAAAGTCCAGCATGATTGACGAGACACCATCATGATTGCAGCATCGTCATCATCACTATCATCATCATCATCATCCACCGCCGCGACCACCGCCATCACCGCCGCCATCGGCCCCCGCACCGCTGCCGCCGACCCCTTGGCAATCGCCGCCAACGCCCCAGCACCACCACCGCCGCCATGGCCCCAGCAGCAGCACCGCCGCAGCACCAGCAAGAAGAAGAAGAAGAAGAACAAGAGCAAGAGCACCAACAACAACCGTAGCAGTGACAGTGACATGCTGCACGTCTGAATATGCAGTGGTAATATGTCTGAATGCCCTCGGAAGAAGCCCCATAGCGCCATTCAGTTCGAGCGCGGTGTCATCTGGCTGGATGGTGTGTCGGGTGCCCGAGCCGTACAGGGTTGAAGGCACCAAATCTTTCAACCCAATGGCAGATAGATGAGGGCTTCAAGGCTTTCATGACCCGAAGTCGTTGCAGGAGTGGGACCCAGCTCCAGTACTCTTCTCACGAAGCTTGAGAAAGTCTTTCCGAGTATGACTCAATCACGACATCCTATCCTACTCTCGGCTTAACCCGATGTTCAACGCATGCCTTGTGCTCTTGCTGGGCCCTCAAAGTGGCAAAGGTCGAAGCAGCACGAGCGCATGGACGGCGGCCGAGACGTTCGGGGTGAAGCTTTCCCATGACGAAGATGATGTTGATAATGCAGCAAGGTTTAATCTGTGGACTCCAGTACCCCTGATGCAGAGACGCGGCATTCCGGAGGTTGAGTTTGTTCGTCCAGTAAGATGCGAACTTTTAAAGAATATTTGGATGAGAACTGACAGGTGGAGTACGAACCACACTACGACAGCAGGCAGACGACAAAGGACGATGGTGCCGAACTGTTTGAACCAAAAGGACGGAATTTAAAAGCCCTGACTAACAGGAGCCATAACTTGTGATTGGTTATGGCAAGAGTCAAAAGTAAAAAACATGCTGCTTCCATGGTCATTAGCGTCAGCACCTCCATCTCGATCCAAATCCCCATCCCAAATGCCGATCCCCATCGCCGTCACCACCACCACCACCATGCACCGCCACCACCACCACCGCCACCGCCCACCGTGGCCAGCGCCCACCGTCACCGCCAAAGGCCCACTGGCCCACCGGCACCGGCACCGGCGCCGGCAACAGCAGCAGCAGAAGCATCATCTTGTTCAACATCAACATATATGATAATCATCAGCATCATCATCAGCAGCATCAGCATCAACGATAGCTTCGGCATCAACATCAGCAGCTTCATGCCCTCTGGCCGTCGTCGTGCCTTGTTGCATGCTTCCACAACTTCCGAGACCTGGGGCCCCACTGCCTTGTCGGCGCTGAAGGCGTCGGTGCTGTCGGATTGCCGTTGTGAGGCTTCAGCTCATGTCAGATCCGGTATGAGACTCTGCAGGCCCTGCGGTTTGGGTTTTGGAGATTGTTCTAATCTCCAGCCTGCCAGTCTGAGATGATCGGGTGTGCACTGCGCGTTAATATGAATCGAGCGCCAGAGCCCAAGGCTGGAGCCTGGACTGCATTGCTCCGCTTCGTTTTCCTCTGCTGTTGCTTCCGTTGTTCTGGTTGTGGTTGCCGCTGGTGCTGGTGGTGCTGGTGGTGCTGGTGGTGCTGGTGGTGGCGGTGGCGTCCGGGCGCGGCGGTGCTGGTGGTGCTGCTACGACGACCACGGCTACTGATTGCTGCTTTCAATGATGCCCGAGGCTCTGAGGGTAGAACAGCTGGGAGCGCAAGGGTTCGCTGCAAGCAGGTTCCCCTGGTGACAGGTGCCGGAGGTGGGCGGTCATTCTCCCAATTGCGGTTTGTCAGTTGCGAGTCTCTCAGGGTTTGAGTCAGAGCGGAGCGGTTCGAAACTCAGAGTTTTCGATGCATGCCGGGGTGCAGCACCTCTTCGGTTTCAGATCCATTGGAGACTGTCTGGTGGTGCCTCATACCCTTCAGGTTTTCATGATTCCACATACAGATCCATTGTGGACACTGCAACCTTCATAAACAGGCATGTTTTCCACAGACACAATTGTCGGAGGTGCAGGGCGCAGTGGTTCTGTGGCTTCGTCGGTGCCCTTGGTGGAAGTCGGGTGACTTAGCAGAGCCGTCATGCTTGACTACCGGTAGGTAATGTCGTAATCTCAAACAGGATGAGCATTGTTACTACTGGTTAAAGAAGTATGGAAAATCAAGGCCACTTTGAGCGACAGTTGTCGACTGTAGTCTCCAACACCGAAGAAGAATGCTATCATCACAACATGCAGCAATACTTCCAATTCTGGGGCAGTGTGGTTGTCTTCTTCGTCGTCGGTTTCGTGGCAGAGCAGCCGGCATGAGGCATGTTGAACCTCGCCCAGGCGCGGGTGGTGGATCCAAACCTGCCCGAGGTTACTTTGCAGGAGGCACGGTCACTGCCAGAATCGCTGTTCCGATGATCCACAGAATTGCTTTGGTTGCTCCTGTCGATCGCTCTCGCCACCTCTACAGCTGCTGCTTTTGCTGCTGTTGCTGCTGCCCCACATTTTCTTCGTGTTTTTTGATATTTTGCTGGCTTTAGCTCGTGTCGATTTCATTATCTGTCCGAGGTGATAGGATCTCTCGGAGTCGGAACCTCATGTCCTCACCTTGCATGGCCTTTCCCAGGGCAGAGGCCCGGAGGCGCGAGCCCTCCGAGCCGGAGCCCGAGAGCGCGGCCTCGCAGCACGGGCAGAGAGCCAGGGCCTCAGGGCCTGAGCCCGAAGTCCAGAGAAGATCAGGGTTCAGACGGAGTGCTTTTGATGCTTTGCTGCTTCACTGCAGATTTTAGTGCTCAGCTTTCTTGGGGCACTGGTCCGTAGAGACTGCACCCTAAGTTGTCTGAGGATCCATCAGGAACAGGCCTTCAGATCCGGGCCCTCAAAAGCTCCCGGGGCCGGGACCAGTGCAGAGTGCAGCGAAGTTACAGTGGTGAGGCGAGGCGACGCCGCGAGAGCTCCCCCGCGCTGCCCGCGCACGCCAAGGTGGGCCCGGAACCCAGAGAAGTCGGGCTGAAAAAACCACAAAGAGTGCGCAGGGGATGCCCCAAAGCGTCGCACCCGCTTTCCGCTCCGATCTTGGGGACCAGCTTTTGGGAGCAGGGACTAGATTGTTGCAGGCGTGAGTGCCGACTATTGAACATGTTTTGCCGCTATCTACGGTTGCTGCGTCAGTGCGGCTGAAAGTTCGATGCAGCACACCGTGGCACTTTCTCAAGCCACGCAGGACTTTCAAGACTACGTTTACCAAACTCCAAAAAGATCAATGAGCACCACCAGCAACCACTCCAAAGCCACAACCCGAGAACCCCTTCACGACAGAATCCGAAGCCACGAGAGCTGTTGTTTGCGCCATGTTCGTGCCCCGTGCTGCATGGAAGCTGGAGTCTAGTCGTTGGAAGCGCAGTCGGGGCTTGAGGGCTGGAGGAACTCTGCATATGCAGACATGGAAGCCCTAGGAACACCATGCGTCAAAATGGAATCTCATCTCCTGCTTGTGGGCATATTCTTCGAATCTTCCTTAGCGTCCGAGTTCATGGCCAAGATGCAAGCTTCCATGCCATTCAACCTGATAGCTTTTCCATTTCCCGTCGAGCACTGCGATGTTGGAGTTCACTACCAGTCTCGTGTTCGGGCTTAGGCTCAATTCTCTGAGCTTGTTCAAGATTTGTTGGTTAATCAACGCTTTGGCATGATCAATTGAAAGCCCCACAGCGGGTATTTAGTTCCTGTCTTGTTGGTCTTCCGTTGTTCCTGCCTGCAACGCCCGTCCCCACCCTGAAGTTGAACAAGATAGAGTCTCCGCTTGGGACTGATGCAGAAGCTCCAACACCGTTGTTGCAGGAAGGGTCGAGGCAGGGTTTGGGGTTGGAAAAGCCTGGCAACGAGCCCCGACACTGCGAAGCTTCTCGTAGCCCATCCCAACAGCAAGGTCCTGGAGCTCAGAAGGCAAAAGCACGAGGCCAAAGTGCAAGCCCACAGCACCAGAGGTTCCGACCAGCTACTCGTTGGGCCTTGTGATGGCCCTGGGGGCCCTGATTTGCTGGGGCAGCTGGAGCGTTACACTGGTCCTTGCCTCCAAGGCGCAAAACGGAAGCCGAAGCTTGGGCGTTAATCTTTAATCCTTTCGGAACCTGCCGAGGAGACCGTGGATGTTTAATGTTTAATGATGATCGGAAAAAGGGCCGAAGTTGTTGGCCTCCTGGCAGTTGCTGGCGCTGGAAGGTGCTCAGAACAGCTCAATGGTCTTCCGTCTGTTCCGGGTGTCGCGCACAGACCCAGCCCCTGACAGGTCATGGCCTTCCAGCCCCTCGCCAACTCCTTTGAGCCGCAGCGAGAGGCTCCCAAGGTTCAGGTTCTGACGAAAGAAGGGACGCTCACCGGCCGGTTCCCGCAGATCCTAAAGCCCGCTGGATAAGGGCCCTGAATCTTGAGGCTGTACTACGTCAACTTCACGCTGTCCTTTCTAATCACTGGCTTCGTTGTCGGCTTCATTGGAGGCACTTTTGGATCCGGTGGTGAGCGCTACGAATCTCGGCGCTGGAGTTGAAATCGCATAGCCTTCCAAGGTTTGAGGACCTTTGCAGCAGGTTTTGCAGGCTTCGGGATTCTGTTGGAAACTCTCGGGCTTTGGGCTCCAGGCCTTGCGTTCTGAGCTAAACCTTGAGCCCTTCAGGGGCTTCATGTTCGTCCCGGAACCCTCGTAGATGTTTAACGGTTCAAGTCGTGAATCTCTGTTGTGTGCTACGGTTGTCATATTGAATGTCTGTCCTTTGCCACAAGTGTACTGCATAGGGACACATCGGCTGCAGCACGCTTGTGATCACCGTCGTGTGGGACATTAGGAAGCTATGGTCGGCCCTTTATGCGTATACTCTTGTCAGCACAACTTTGGTGATACTTGGGCAAATCACATTTCCAATTATTGCTGCTGCAAAGCTTTTTCAAACGTTGGATGAACTTCCGCTGCTGGGTCGCGAAGTCCCAACTCGATAACTTTGCCGTCAAGCAGTCCGAATCTTCAACGACTTCCAGTGATTACGGCTCTGCCGCCCCTGCCGCCATCAGCCAGCGCTGGGGTATGCTTTCATTCTGCCTTGCACTTGCTGCCCAAATGCCTCGTCCTGTCGTGCTGTCAGAGTCAGGAACTGTTCCCCCGCCATTTGTGAGTACTTCTCTGCTGGAGCATTCCACCGATACGAACAGCAGCCTACAATGTCTTGCGCATCTGACGACAGGTTTTCGTGGCGCTTGGGAGGGGTTCTAAGTGGTACTTACGGCGTCGGAAATTAGGGCAATCGCGAGGTTGCTTTTGTGAGTGTTTTGGAGGTTTTGCAGATGCACGCACATGGTGACGATTCTCGGGTTCAAGCAACCATGGGTCTGATGATAATGATGCAGTAGTTGTACGTACGTCATCATCCCCATCTCCCCCATCCCCCACATTACCCCCGGTAACCCAAGTACGAACAATTAACTTACAGACGCTGTCGTGGAATATGTTAAATACACAGAAGTAAGAACAAGTAAGCTCGAGACTTTCTTGTAAAATGTGCTCAAGCCAAATGATTAAGGCCGCAAAGTAAGGAAAAGCTCAGCGTCAGATACAGCATCCTAGCCCGGTAGTCGTAGCAGCAGTAGTAGTAGTAATAGTAGTAGTGGTAATCGACGAAGTAGTAATAGCAGCAGGAGTAGAGAGTAGAACTAGTAGTAGTAGCAGTAGCAGTAGCAGTAGCAGTAGCAGTAGCAGTAGCAGTAGCAGTAGCAGTAGCAGTAGCAGTAGCAGTAGCAGTAGCAGTAGCAGTAGCAGTAGCAGTAGCAGTAGCAGTAGCAGTAGCAGTAGCAGTAGCAGTAGTAGTAGTAGTAGTAGTAGTAGTAGTAGTAGTAGTAGTGGTAGTGGTAGTGGTAGTGGTAGTGGTAGTGGTAGTGGTAGTAGTGGTAGTGGTAGTGGTAGTGGTACTGGGTACTGGTACTGGTACTGGTACTGGTACTGGTACTGGTACTGGTACTGGTACTGGTAGTAGTAGTAGCAGCAGTAGTAGTAGTAGCAGTAGTAGTAGTAGTAGTAGTAGTAGTAGTAGTAGTAGTAGTAGTAGTCGTGGTGGTAGTAGTAGTAGAAGTAGTAGGAGTAGTAGTATTAGTAGTCAGTTGCAGTAGCAGTCGCAGTGTAGTTGTAGTAGTTGTAGTTGTTGTAGTAGTTGTAGTAGCTGTAGTAGTTGTAGTAGTTGTAGTAGTTGTAGTTGTAGTAACAGTAGTAGTAGCAGCGGCGGAGATTTGCACCGGCCGCCCACCCTTGAGGCCCCCCCCAGACCGGTCAGGACGGCGCATGGTCACTTCTACCGGCTCGTGCAGACAATTCTCAAGCAGTTCATGCCGGATGAAGACCAGCCCAAAAGGCGCAAAGGCAGCGGCGTCACGGACGGAGCCTCGAGGGGAATTCCTAGCCACCTGAAGCGCGAACTGCAGCTTTGGCTGGAGCGGGACCAATGGTCACAACCCATCTATCCCAGCTCCCCCTTCCCCGACCGTTACACTCCATGCCGGCCTTTGGCGTGCCAATGGGGAGCTACGGACCGACATTGCTACCTTCACCAGATCCGATGACAAGTTCGGCAACAACAATGGCTCCCTGGTCCCGGAAAAGGCCGCAATGGCTGATGCCTTTCAAGGACTTGGCTCATGGGAGAAATCAGCAGTCTGGGCGAAATTCTACCTGGCAGCCGAATTGAGAACATGCGGCCGCCATCTCAGATACGTCTATCAGGAAGTCTACCCCTGGGAGTCGCACTCCAACCTCGACGGCTACTTGATCATGGACAAGCACCCCCCCCCACCTCCGACCCAGTTTTCGGAGTCGAAGGAGGATGCGGTGTCAATGACAACCCCAGATTCAAAGCGCGGGAGCAAGGCTCACCCTACCCAGGAGACAGTGCCGCCCTCATCCACTGCATCACCTACGGCACGGACCACTGTGGCGGACTCGACGGCCGCTATGGGTACAGGGACTTTACAGCAGGAGCCTCAGGGTGCACACGCGGAGCTCCCAGGCATCTGGCGTGAGACGCCCACCAGCCCCGAGGCAGATCAGGCATCGGCTCTCCCAGCTCAGCACCAGCCCCTGCCCGCGCAGACTTCAAATGCCGCGCCAGAGCCGCCTCAATCAGCTCACAGCGGCGGACGAGCGGGCTTTGAGTTTTGACCCGCATGCCAGATTCAGGGCAATGGCTGCCTCGGGAGGCAGCGACGTACCTTTCGTTCAAGGGACACATGCTTAAGTCTGGCGATGCGTTTGTGGCTCGGGACTTGGCCAGCCCCAAACTCCCAGGCTACCGCAAGACTACCATCGAGGACTGGGCTCGCAGTCTCCACACCGCGGCGGACTTGCTACGTGGTGTGGCTGGCGACATACCACGTAGCAAGTGAGCGCTTCGCTGGTGAGTGCCCGCACACGCGGCCCTCGCCGCCCTAAAGACGCTGGGACAATGTCCGCCTCCCTCACTTTTACGGTGGCGACAATGTCGACCTAGCGCTGTATCGGCCGAGCATTTTTCATTCTCCAATGGACCGACAGCAGGCGTGCCGGCGTCCACGAGACCTGGCCTTTTTTTTCTCTCTCGACTGCGGTCGCAACTCTTGTTGGGGTCAACCACAGCTGCAAAAAGTGTCGAAGACCTCACAGATGCATGGAAAGCCTGCACCAGTGCATGTTGAGCCTCACAACGGCAGCACACACTCCTACCTGCCCCTTCCTCTCCACTCGGAGTCTCTGCCATTGAGCAAACTTGCCCCCAAGGCTCTCAGGTAAGCATAGCCTGGCTTCCCGGCCGAACCGTAGCACTCAAAGAGTGTGCGAGCCTGTAACGTGGCGACTACGTGCCAGCACGGGCTGCATCCCGATGGACATCGATGACTCCGACGAGGAAATCCCAGAACCGGCGCTCAAATGCCGGTGCCCCACTCTCGAGCAGCCGACCGTTCAGAAGGACATCTCTGAAGTACGGACAGAAGCAGATCTCGAGCATGCCCGGCAGGGCTCCATATGCTCGGCGCTGAGTTTATACACTCCCCAGGCACAGGCGCCGGGGGTGTGTCTTCGGCTTCCTCCAGACGTGGACGAAGTGGAGCATAAGTTCACTCTGTGCGCGGTGGAAAAGGCTGCTGCCGACTATCTGCATCGCAGATGGGTGACTTTCGAGCAACTGGACGCCCTGCTGGACATCATACCGACCACCTCAACCTGTCGGCATGCCTCGGTGGCACTACCTCAATCTGCTGACCAGCAAATCGTCACGCTGGGAGCCTACCTACAGGGGCCAATGGCCGGACTGAGGACACAGACGCACCGCTTTCCGATGGCGGCGTGCCTCCTCAATACGGTCGTGCACACCATGGCTGGGCGCCACCCGCGCACTACCCTCTTCCTGGCGCGCAACATGGCCTCCGGCCTTCACACCGACAATAACAAGGAAGGGGTGCACAACCTGCTGATCCCCCTGTCAAACTTTGAGGGTGGCCACCTTTTCGTGGAGAATGAGCAATGCGACTACTTGCTGGACCCGGGCGGGCCAAGAGGGCATGTGCGCCCAGTCACCCTGCCTTACCTCAGCTTTGACGCTTCGCGACGACACCTGGTGCTGCCTTGGACGGGCCGCCGCCTCATCCTCGGCACGTATCACATCCGGGACGCGGACAAGCTTTCTGCCCCTTCTGCTAAATACCTGCAGTACTTGGGATTTGAGGTGTGCCGCACAGAAACCACCTCCTCTAGTTCCCGGCGGCAGCAAAGCGGAATGGTAGACTAACTCCATAAGGGGGGCAATGCCCGACTGCCTTGATGCTAAGAGCCCGTAACGGCAGCTGCCCTCTCTCTCATCAACCTGAAGAGAGCACGACTGCTAGATTTAACGATTTTGTATATGGCGAGACCGCCAGTGGGTCTGGCACTCTGCGCTTCTGCAAAACAATCCTCAGCAGCCGCCTGCAAGACCGCTTTAAGCCACGCGGCGGTACATACCAATTGCACCCTCTGGCGCGGCAACTGAGAGGTCCAGGGCCATGTCGATCGAAAAGCTGGTCTACACCGACGGCCGCTGCTGATCCGGCACGACCTCGAGTGGTGGTGCATTTCACTGATTCCTAGGTCCAGCCACAGTTTGCCATCGCGCAACTGTTGACCCAGAGGTGCCTGAATAGCGCAGCAAGGTTCAAGACCGATCGCTGATATGGTCGCAGTCACAGCAACATGCACAGCAACAGGCAGGAAGGCCTTCCTCTCTCAAATTTCCTTCACAGCTCTCCCCCACCCCAGTGACTAGTCGCTGCTGCGTGTGCGGCACGCCGGGATTGCAAAACATGGCAGCGACACCAACGACGCCGAAGCCTTGTCTGGTGCTCAGTGACAGCACCTTGCAACACCTGCTCTGGAGAGGGGCCAATGGCCAGTCCTATGGCATCATTGATGTGAACCAGGGTGCACTGCACGGCTATGTGATCTCCTGCCCGGGAGCCACACTGACGGCGGAATACGCGGCCAACAGGCCGCCTAACCCGGCAGTGCTCGAGGTGTTGGCCTGGCAGTTCATTCGGGTTTTGGGAGAGACTCGCCCCTACCCCGCGGAGAGCGATCAATTTTCTCCGCGATCATTACTACGACGAAGTCAGTGTACGCATGATCCCCCTGCGCCAAAGCTTGCTGCCACACAAGCAAGCGAACTATGATTGGATAGCGGGGATCCGTGACCAATATGGCTTGAGCAGGTATGAGCTCAGCTCGGAGACCATCATGAGTCTCCAGGGCCCGCATCCCCTGTCGATCAGATCTACAACCAGAACAACTGCCACTTCCGACCGCGGGTGGCGGACCAGGTCATTGGCCTGCTCCTGTCCCGTTCCATCCGAACAATGCGGCGCCTGAAGGCCAACGCGATCCACATCCTGATCATATGTTCATGGAACTGCACGGGGGACAATGTCCACAAGGAAATGAATGCTACAGCTGACCTGTGTAGCTCGGAGACACTGTCTGAGATTGGAGTGGTGGCGGCACGCCACACGGGAAAGGCCTGGGTCTTCCGACCCTTCCTTGAGCCGAATGCTGGCCGCCGACCAATGCCCCGCACCATGTTTCAGACGTACATGCATGACGACCACCCCGGCCCCAAGAGCATGTGCCAAGAGTTCTTGGCCGATTTCGAGCGCACCTTCTGCAACGACGAGGTCCTGCTCGAGACCCTTCGCCTGCACGCTGGTGAAAGTGGCGAAAACTTGATCAGAAGTCTGAGGCAACCTGCTCACAAGGCTGATGTTTTCAGGTATGCCTACCACTACCAGTACGGTGGCTTGTACCTGGACATCAAGATGGCGCTGCGCATGCCTTTCGACGAAATCCTGGGGCACCTTGCTTCAGAATGGGACAATGTCCAAGTCAGAAAGAGCAAGGAGCTGGGGCACTGCCCAAATGGAGAGGAGGGCATTTTGCCCCGGGAATATCTGGTCATGGGAATTGGGGTCAAGAATGACCACATCTTTCAGGGCATCATCTATGGCCAACCGCGCCACCCACTGCTCCTCTGCGCGATCAATCACGCCTTTGGCAAGAATATCCTCACGTCGGTCGCCAACCTCGACTACATGATCTTCTGCAAGGAGCTCTGGAAGCTGCTCACGGCGGACATGGGTCACACCCCCGTGCCGGGATGGAACCAAACTCGCCAGTTTGGCCCGGTGTATTTGCTCCGCGAGCGCCACTCGGCACAACTCACGAGATCCAAGGAGCTCCAGTCGGATGGCCACTTCTTCGAGACGAGCAAGTGTGTCCGGGTTGCCTTCACTCGCTGCTGGAGCTGGCGCAAAGGCTTCAAAGGCGACCTGCGGGCAGCTCAGAGAAACGAAACTTCTCTGATGCAGAGCGTGCCCCAGATCATTTCTGAAGTCTTTGAAGCCGGTGGCGATGCCTCAGCAGCACCCTTTCCAGCACAGGCGGGAGCAATGCTCACCAATGCAGGGGTCAGAGTCGTCGGAGAAACCGTGCTTAGCAGCCTGGAGCGCGGCGATTTGACATGATTATGGCTGCAGTGGAGCGTGAACCGCAGTACAACGGAATCACGGCGGAAGCGGTTCTCCGCAACATCGCCCGTGGACTATGACTATGCCTCCACCCTGATGATCCTGACTGGCTCTCCTGCAGATATTGCGACCGCCAGGGAAAGCGGCTGAAATTTCCAAATGAGCTTGGGGTGACCCACACTTCCTCCAGCCAAAGCACAATCGCACTGTGCCAGAGCCGCCGGGACCACCCCCCCAAACGCTCCAGCATGTGGTCACAGCGCCCGGCTGAGCCAGCCAACCCTCCTTCAGTGGCGTCCACAGGCAAGGCCCCGCCACCCCCGACACCAACGCGGCGCATCGGCCCCCCCAAATTGGGTTTCCCCACTGCGTCAGTTTGGCCTTGACCTCCCCCCCATACCGGCCGGCCTTGACACATCCACGCAGGGCCACCGGCCATTCGCCATAACTGATGCAGGAGGGGTCAATGACCAGGAGACCAGCGTACCGGAGGAGCAGCCAGCCACAGGCAATTCTACCTTCTCGGGCTCAACAGCTACAAAGGCAGCTACCCCCCCAGCTGACAAGGCTGGAGTACAGCACCGATCCTTCTCCGGAGCAGGAGGCGAGTCAATTGCCCAAAAGGGATCAGATAGTGCACATATGCCAATCGGACCAAATGTTGGAGTGGGTCCACGCTTTTGCGACTATCTCCACGTGGCACAGCCTTCCCTAGGATAGCATGACTGCTTCCCCGATTGCGGCACGATGTCCAGATTACAAGCGTCACCGGAACGAAGGCAACGCGATCTGCCACCAGATCCCATGGAGGTCACTCAGAACGGCGGCGTCACACCTCTCATCCCGTGCTGCGTCACTTGCCGTGGAGCCCAGCTGCAAACTGCAGTAGCAGCTCGAATGTGCCCGTGGTGTCGGCACTACATGGCCGAGCGTGTCTGCACGCTACATATTCGCGGGGCATGTGCTTGGAACAAGGGAGCCAACCGGCTATTTATTTCTCCCCACAGCGGAGGCCCCCGGTGATACCTTGTCCAGACTGTCACTGCGCCTGGATGCGGGCGCGGGGGGCACTTCCTTGCCGACAAGCAAAGCCACAGACGCCATCTGCCGGCACTGGTAGATGACCTCCGCGGTCGGTGCTCCCCAGGTGCTGGATTGCACAGCAGCCAGGTTGCATCCACTATTCGACAACGCCTCCGGCGTCATCTTCGCAGGTGGCTCTCGCCTGAATGGAAACCCCTGGAAGAGACGTTGTGCAACTTCCGCGTCCTTTGTCAGCCCTTCGTGCTTGACGACGCGTGCCTGCGTACTGAACTGACGGTTGCAGCGGATGGCTTGGTTCGCTCCGGTAGCGCGCTCCAACATGGAGTTGACAGACAGCTTCTCTTGCGCGGGGCTTCACAAAACACAGTTTCTTTCGTCCTGCATCAGACAAGCCTGCATTCTGACGACAAGCATATGCATCCAGCTGGAACCGTCTTCTCTTCTGACGGTTTGATCCTTAAGCCCTCGTGCCGGAGGTGATGCAGTCCGTTTGCTTGAGGCCAGATCTTCGGATCGAGTCCTTCCACTCCACTCCACTCCATTCCACTACTAGCAATAGCAGTAGCAGTAGCATCAGCAATAGCAGCAGCAGCAGTGGCAGTGGCAGTAGCAGTATCAGCAGTAATGATCGTAAGTCGCAGGAGTCGTTGTTGGCATCGTGGTCGTTGTAGCCAGTTGTGTTCACTAGAAGTGCCAGGAAGTAGACATGAGAGTACGCCTGCCACTGCTCCGCTGGTCTGAAGCAAACTTTTACGTTTAGTGTCGCGGTTTGGGCCCTGCCGAGGATTTCACGACGCCCTACTTGGAGGAAATTTCCGGTGCTTCACCGGCACGAAGGCTAATGCACCGATTGGCCGTTGGATGTCCGGAACCCTATGAAGCCAAAAGGCCCCGACGCGATCTTGTAGGAAGAGGCAGCATGGATGTTGTCCCGGAGCGGGTTTAAAGGATACCCGGGTTCTTGTGAGATGTTCGTCCTGTGCAGAATCTCACAAGATGCTCCAGCATGATCGCTCTTCTCAGACCCCCAAACTTTACCACCCCGTCATGATGCCTCCCGAAAAGGTCAACCTGGAGGTTGCGAGCTTTTTGTTTCGTTGATCACGAGCCTCAGGTGTTGGACACACAACGGAATGCGGCTCGGCATGACTTGTAAGCTTGCGCTCAATCTGTCAGCTTATATAGGATGTCTGTGGAGAACGGCTTGGGCAGGGGACTTCAGTTTAATGTGGGGGATGTGTGACCATTGCTTATCACATCATGTCTTGAATTCTTGGGAAGGGTCATGCGTTCTCGCGATTGAATTTCCGAAACGCATGTCGTGCTTCGCATTTTACAGGGGCTCAGTCGGGGTCTTCGAGTTCGTTAAATGGGGTGTTGGCTTTGGAGAGGCCGTGAAACGCTTCGAGGATTCGAGGTCTGAGGAGGGAGGCACCTGGCGCAAACGCGAGCGGAAGGCCGAAGACAGAATCCACAGAGTTTTCTTCGGCTTTGGGTTCCTTCCCCTTCGCAAAGAAAACATCCAAGACCCTGAACCATGCTTGGGGTGCTTGAAATCTGGGGCAGGATGATGGGACTTCAGAGCTTGGGGGCGATCTGCCAAGGTTATCTTTGGGGAATGTTCGGCGGTATAGAACCTCGGCAGCACGGTTTAGCGGCAGTGCTACGCGACATTCTGTGCACTTACATTCACGTCGTGTGCATGGGCTCTTGCTTCTGGTCTGAGTTCGCACAGGATTCCGCCGCAGCTTCATGCCTTCGCGGGGTGACATAGACCAGACGCTGCTGCGTCACCTGAGGTTTGGAACTTGGCCAACATCCTGCTGTGCAAAGGCGTGGACGGGCCCCAAGCCCAAGGGTCTACGTGGAATCTCAGCGTGCCTATCTTGTGTTGTTGGGGTCTGATGTTTGTCTCCGAAGCTTTAGCTTGCAGGCATCGGGATGATGGGCAACGCCATTGGCTTCCCCCTGTGTGTCGGCCTCGGGATGGTCACCGGAGCTGTGGTGGCCTACGTGCAGGAATCCTGTTACAGCAGGGGCTGTTGGGCATTGAAGGATTCAAGGCTGGTTGCAAGATTGTAGTAGTGATTCAAGACTTGTTTCAGGGATGCTGCGTGTATGCAGCTGCGTGTATGCAAGCATGCACAGATCTATGCATGCCGTGAAAGCCCACAGCTTCAAGCGTTTTTAAATGACAAAGTGCCGGGTGTCGCAGGATCCCAAGAGCGACTTGAAGTTCCTTGTGCCAGGCGGATCGCGGATTTCGGCTCTTGAGCTTCCCGGTTGAAGGCTTTCGGATGTATTCAGGGCTCTCGGTTGATCAGCCGCAGGGACTCAGCAATGCAGGGGGACTCCCTACACGACCAAAAGCGGAAGCAAAAGGACGTTGATTCTTGCCAGCCTGAACCCTTTGAGCCACACATTCCTGGGTTCACCCTGTTGCCAGCGTTGAAGCCTAGCCCGAGAACAGATCTTCAACCGAAAGTCCTGAACCGATGTCGAAGCTATTTCCCTAAAGCTATGAGAAGCGACTTTTTTGGCCGGTTGCGCATTCCTTCGTGTTCTTTTCCTTGTATGAGCTAAGTAGAGCCCTCTGCAACACTTCTTCGAACACGTTCTGCGTTATCACACCTGTGGAGGCGTGTTTCTTGCCTTATGCGCCATCTCCACCGTCGGGTTGCTGTCTTATCGCAAGGACCAGGAGGCCAGCAACGGGGAATCACTTGTTACAGAGCTTCAGCACAGGAGCCGGCTGCACTGATTCGACAGACTGACTGGTACATGTGGAAAGCCAAAGATGACGTTTCTCAGGGCTTCCGTCGAGCGGACTCCTCCGATGAGTCGGAGGTCGACGGCACCGTTTCGCAGGAGCCGAGTTCGGCTTTCGGTGCTCTCGTGGGCCCTCTGGGAGCAGCTCCAGAATCTCCGGAAAGGATCCTGGCTCTCTCGCGGCTGTTCTACACAGTTGACAACCAGATTCCTCTCCCGGTGTGCTTCGGGTCTTAAGAGGTCGTTGACATCTACGCTTGCTTGTCGCGGTCTGAAGCCTCCTTGGGCGCTGCTGGCTCATAGCATGAGCCTGGCAGTAGTAGGAGAAGACATGAAAACATGCAAAAAAAAGCATGCTCGATGTAGTGTTGAGATGTTTCTCTCGCTGAGCTCGGACACAGTCACAGCTTTGCCGAAGCAAGCGTCCTACATCAAAACCACACAGAAGCACCGAGAAGGCTTTGGAATTCAGGGTTTTACGCTGACTTGTGGCCTCAGCTCTCGAGTTGACGCTACCGCTGAAGCCGTGGAGATGGAGGCGCCGGGATGCCTGCGTCGGATTGAAGGGATATGACGAAACTTTCACTGAATCCAGAGGCCGCAGCGGCGTCGCAAGCGCTCGTTTCTCTCGATCCAGAAGAGGAGAGGAGGAGGCGTGAAATAGAGGGAGAGACGTTGTGTGAACAGCTTTTGTTGCGGTAGTACTTTTTCCTTGTCATTCGAAGGGAATGCTTGCATGTCAGCCATGTTGTGCCATGCTTTGCTGCATATTCGGCAGGCCAGGTAATATCTGCGTCAGCATTCTTCGAAGAGAGGGTTCGGCTCCATTCAATCTTGTCTTCATGGACTTTCAGCCCTGCAGAGTAAAGCAGCTAGCTAGGAGGCTAAGAGCCTTAAGCGCAAAAGGAGCCGAGAGTGTTTCCTTTTTCGCGTGTCCCATTCCCAGCGCCAAGAAACGATGGGACTCAAAGCCCTGAGTCCGAAGCTTACAGCCCCGGTCACCCCGGTCCGGGTTGGCGAAGTCCGGGCTTCTCTGGTAGACCCGGGTGTTTCCTCTTGGCGCCTGCGCGAGGAAGGCCGAGGAAGAGAACGACATTCTGCAGCGGAGGAGTGATGTCTTGCTGGGTGTGAGACCTTTCGGTCGAAGGCCTTTCAACACACCGTCCTGAAGGATCGAAGCCCTGGTCCAGAAGCTGGATCCCGTCGAGAAGAGGTGTCGAAGCGCATTTCAGGAAGGCCTCTCTCAACTGCCGTTTTGATGCGGGAAGCCCAGGAAACCTCGGAGTTCTTCCGCTGGCTCCGTCTCTGCCGGCTCCGCCTCCGGAGACTCGGACTCTGCCTCCTCACGCCCGGCCCAGACTGCGAGGAAACGAAGGAGGCTGGGAAGTTGTGCGGAAGAGCACGGACACAGGCGCTGCTTGTGTTGACTTGTTTCGGAATCTGCTCCCCCCCGCAAGACTGAGGCGCGCCTCGAGAGACGACCAGGTATTGCAGCAGCCCGGCCACGTCGAGACTTCTCGAAAGCTGAAGCCAAATGATTGCCCACGTTTCATCAAGCCTAGACGCTTGACGCCTGGTCCCCGCCCTCAGAAGCGCCTCTTTGCCACAAGGCCCGTGACTCCGAAAGCGTCGCCAGAGAGGGGGGCGGAGGCAGAGGCCCAGCTGCGAGCTTTCGGGCGGTTTTGAGCCCGAAGTCCGTTGGCTTTGTCATCGCAAGGCTGAGAACCCTTCTGCCGAGCCCAGTGCTGTGGACTTCTGGCGGCGGATGAAGTCGGGAGACATTCATCCTGCGGATCTCCGCGACGGACTGCTCGGATTTCGGCTTGAGGGTTCTAGGTTCAGGCGGAGGGCATCAAACAACAACAACAACAACAACAACAACAACAACAACAACAACAATTTATTGGACGCTGAGCGAGCGGACTCTGCTCATTGCGGGCGTGTGAGACTGCCTTTGCACCTGAACAAAGGTCTGAGAGCAGAAATGCTAAGGGCCTGGGCCTGAAAGCGCTGAAACAGGCTACCGTGAAGAGAGCTACCCTACAAGCTACCTCAAAAGCCGGTTCATGCGTCTCAGGCGTGGGTGAGAAACCCTCCGTCACCCTCAGTGTGGACTATGGCGTCCCATGTCCACGGACCGATGATTGATGAGCCGTACCCCCTCGGGACCGTCACTCAGAGTGCCTGTTGCGTGGCGTCCCACTCATGGTCACTCTCAATCAAAGGCGATGGGCCGTAAGGTCGCAAAGGTGATGAGCATGTGGAACGGCTGCTAGTGCTGTTATCTGAGGCCGCTCCGCTTTTGTGGGCAAGCAGATTGCATCGGTGAACGATGTGGCACACCCTGGCGGTAAGCACACTGTGCCTAATAAGGCTAACCTTATTCGTAAGAGGCGTACTCCCCTCCAGAGGCCAGGCTTGCCGGCAATGGCTTGGGGGCCTCGGACAACCCCCCATTCTCGAGCCGAGAATGGGGGGTTGCAAAACCTTGATTTTTAGGCCTCGGACAAACCCCCCTTCTCGAGCCGAGAATGGGGGTTTGTAAAGCCGATTTCAGCCATTGGTCAGCTGTGTTGCTGACAGGCGTTGCCTTTCTGGGAAAGCAGCGAGCGTTGCCCGACTAGCATGACAGGTATAGGCCGCTATTGCACACAAACGCTGAGTAGTGGAGCTACGTCAGCTGTACGACTTGAGCAGCAAAACTGAACAACAGCGTTCCTGCTCCCTGCCGTGTAGGCAGGTCGGTCCCACAGAGCCAGTAGGTCGCCCCCTTCCTGCAAGGGGAAGTAGGGGCCCCTGGCCTCAGGGGAACCCTCAGCTTAATCATCTGAAACTTGGACTGGCATAGGGCCAGCCTCCGCTGTGTGCGGTATTGAACCAAGTCGCACGAACAGCACATAGCAGCCGTGGCGTGCCTGCCTGAGATCTGAATCTGAGGCCTGAACCGACGGACGACCATCGTCCGTGCTGAGCCAAGGTTGATCGGGGTTGCTCCTCCAGAGGGAGCGATAATGTCCACTGTGCGGGGTGTCACCTATGTGGAAGATACAGGACTGAACCCATCCTTTCTCTAGTTGTACGGAGCCCGTCGGGGCCCACTGCGAGAGCTGAAGGGGGTGGTGCAGACCAGTGACAGCATAGCTGAGCTTGCGGCCTTCAACAAATCGCGCCACTGTGAGAACCACCAGTCGTTGCTGCCCTCGAAAGGCGGTGTGCACCGGCTGGCCAGACCACCGAGAGAGCAGCTCCTGAAGTGCATGGGATCCACCTGTCGTTGGAGCTGGCAGCAAAGCGAGCGGACCTCCCGCATCGGTGACCTCAGTAGTGTTTACATCCCTGACTTCCCAGGGTCGTGCAATCGGAAAGGCGGTAATGCCTGCAAATAAGGCCACTAGAAACTCCGAAGCATCTTGTTGTTGGCCATCATAGCGCCAAGCGGGAGTAAGATGGCGAAGCGTGAAAGAGGCAGTCAGGGTGAAAGGAGAACCAGAGACAGAATCAGCCACTTCCTGATGGAGGGAGGTGCTTGCCCCTCCGTGCTCCAGCAAGATGCACGTCGGCACCAGGGCCGAAAGCGTTGAGTTAACATAGCAGTAGTTGGAGATGTTGCGCAGCGAGCGAGGAGCAGCGAGCGCGCCGTCCTTTGATTCTACTGTCCCTGACTTCGGTGGCAGGGGGCCTGCAGGCGTTGCCTGGCGAGTCTGGGGCGTTGCTCCAACAGCGGTGGTATCGTCCCGTGTGGGTGCGTTGCCTTGTGTCGTGCCAACCGCTGGCATGTACCTGCGTAACGGTCCGCCCTGGCAGCGGGAAAGTGCATGAACCAAGTCATAAAACAGAATCTGAAAAAGGATCGGACATTGTGCCGGATGCTGCCTCTTATCCGTAACAGGCTTGCGGCAGCACGGGCAAGGCATGCCCTTGACAAGGGTCAGGCCTGATTTGCTGCTCTGAGTTGCAGCTGTAGCGCCATGAGCCGCCCATTCAGGTTTGTGGGCCTGCCGGATGTGAGACTTGAGCTTGGTATTGTCCGGGGTCCAGAACCCACACAGCAAGCAATGTGACATAAGGTCCTGAGACTCATCAGATCGTCCGAGCTCCACAGCCGTGTGTGTTGTCAGAGTGTCATGCAAGCGCTGCTGCCTGGGATGCAATCTGGGCTGATGCTGCGAATCCAAGGGAGGGTGCGCCGCGTCATCCAGCTCCTGTAGCCTAGCTGGCTCCGAGCAGGCACCTGATAGCAAGTGGTCCTTTAAGCCCTTCATCTGAGGGAATTGCCTGTTGCAGGCCGCACACTTGGGGAGCCCTCCTACAGAGAGGGTGTGGGAGAAGCCTCGAGGGACATATCTGATGACCGAGCCTGGATGCTTGCGGGCCTGGTGGGTGCGAAGACCGACCTCAGTGTCGAAGGCCTGAGCACACGTTGGGCACACGAAGGACGGGGGGGCCTCCTGCTGTGATGTGTCCTTAGAAAGTTGCTGCAGAACGTCTGCATAACTAGTAGAGAGTGCCTCCGCCTGGAGAAGCGCGCGCTGGGTTAAAGAGATGTCCCCCGCAGGAGTTTTCCGCCGTCGAGCACCTAAGCGCTTGACACGATTGGCCTGTCGCGCCTGCAGCTTACGGACAGGGTCCATGATCTCATGGGAGGCGTAGAGGTCAGCCGTGGATATGTGTGTCAGGTGCGCTGGCTTGTTCAGGACAGCTCGAATTTTGCGAGCGTGCCAAGCCCGCAACAGTTTAGCTGTCTCTAGGGTCAAGCCCACATCCACCAATCCAGAGGCTACTGTGGCCCAGACAGTGCTATGCCAAATGTGCAACCGCGATGCAGGCCCCGCCGTTCGTCTGTTGTGAACGAAGCGGCGTACCTGCTGCAATTTCACATTGCCCTCCTGCAACCGGAACTTGAGAGTAGCCTTCTCGAAGTTGGAGTAGGAGAGCATGACGCCGAGATACTTAAAGGACGTCACCAGCGGAAAGCCCTCGTGAGACTTGGACTCTCCCAGTCTCCACATCTTATGGCGGGTTCCGTCGTCAGGCGCGGTGCGCCAATAAGTGTGCTTGGAGATGGCGCGTTGCGCCTGTTGGCCCTCGAGTTTGACCAT